CCGCGGGCGCGTCCCCGCGGCGGCCGCGCTCACCCGGCCCGTGTCCCCGCAGGCCTGCGGCGGTGGCTCTCGGCGCCCCGGCTCTGCGTGGTGGGCGGCGGGCCCGCCGGCTTCTACACGGCGCAGCACCTGCTCAAGGTACCGGCGCGGCGCGGAGCCTCCGCCGGCACCGGCGGGCTGCGGGCGCCGCTTCCCCGGCCCCGCCGCGTCTCTGGGAACTGCGAGATGTCCTGCTGCATTCCAGGAGAATCCGATGGCATATGGAGTTAGGAGCGAAACCAGCGCTGCCCGCACCTGTAGCCGCCTCGCGCGGGCGGCGTTGACGGCCCGTTGGAGGGAATGCGAAGGAGCCGCTTTCCAGACTCCTCTGGAGCCAGGGCCGGAGGGTGACGCTCTGCCCGGGGCTGCAGCGTTAGTGCTCCGGGTGGCTCCGGGTGATGTGTCTGGAAAGGAGACCGGGTCTCGGAGCGGAGCTACTGGCGCTGAGCAGGGATGCAGCAGCTTGGCCCCGTTGTTAAACTGCGCTGTGGAATTATTATCTGTGGAATGTGTTGGAAAAGAGCTGCTGCTAAACCTCAGGGACGGGTTTCAGGGCTGCTTTGTCTCTGGGAGGAGGCTGATAACACAGCATAACAGATAACAGAGCACTTGAAGCAGAACAATTCGTCTAAAACCCGCAGCGCTGAGCGCCCCAAACCTGAGGGATCTCGGGCAGGGGGAATGGGGGCTGGTGGGTCCTCCCGGCAGCAGCCCCACATGTCACCTGCAGCACTCTGGGCTCCAGAGAGCGCCAGTTTGCTGCCTGGCTGTGTCTAGCACCAAGGTTAGTGCTGAAGAGGGGCTGAGGGGCAGATAAGAGCCCCCCGGCAGGCAGCCTGGGTGCTGGCTGGGGTCTGTGGCGGCTCCGAGGTGGCGGGAGCAGGAGCAGCACCCGGACACATCACTCCACGGCGCTGCCAGCGTCCCCAGCAGGCTGCGCTTTGCCTCGTCTGCCCTCACTCCGGCTCTTGGCACGTCCCTCCGTGCTGCCCGCGAGCGATGCGGGTCCCTCCCGAGAGCTGCTGGGCTCGCGTGGCCTTTACCTCCTCGTGCCTTAACTGTGGCTTCTTTCTCCGTTAGCACCATGACCGGGCGCAGGTGGATATCTACGAGAAGCTGCCCGTCCCCTTTGGGCTCGTCCGCTTCGGCGTGGCACCGGATCACCCCGAAGTGAAGGTTGGTGCTGCTCCCGTCCCCCTCCTGTGGCATCCACCGTGGTGACAGCGGAAGGTGCAGGCCAGGCGATCAGTGCCCCCCAGGATGCCCCACAGATAGTTTCGGTGTGGGGCTGTCGCCCTGCGGGAGCCCTGCAATGTTCCAGTCCCCTGCTTGTCCCCTCTGGGACCCAGGCTCGGTGATATGGGATGCTTGGCCTGGGTTCCCTGGGATATGGGCCTGGCTTCGGGCCCCCAAAGGCCAGGGCAAACACAGGGGCTGTGTGATGGGAGCGGCTGCTTGAGGATAAACTCACAGCTCTGTGCAGACTGGCTTAGAGCAAGTGCTGATGGGTTTTCTTTGTGCCAGGAAACTTTGCTGCAGCTGCTGTGGCATCAGGACAGGCTCTGGGTCTCACTCCGGGCCCCTCTGTGGGGTGCAGTGTCTGCCAGGGCTCAGCTGGGACCCATCTGGGTGACTGGGAGCTTGCAGTTCTGCCCTTGCAGGGTTGCTGTTGGGCTGCATGGGCATGTCTGGGCAAAGAGAAATTAAACCAAAGAGATGCCAAAGTCAACCTGTTTTCCTTATCGCAGAGGAATCCCAGCATGGCAGCTGCTGTGGCTGAGCTGGGGTGGAGCTGACTGCACTAGGAGGATATAGGGGACCCAGAGACAATATCCTGTGACAAATTCCCCATATAATCTGCTGAAATAATCAGACCAAAATGTCCCCATCCACTTGATTTGAAAGGCAAGGAGTAGTAGCAGGGTAGGCAGGGGTTGGAGCAGTTTTCCACATTATTGTGCTGTCTGTGCTGTTATCAATCACAGCATCGTTGGGCCTCCATGGGAAGAAGGGCGTTTTGCTGGATAGCTCCATGTGCTCAGAGGAAAAGAGCTGGGATGCTGCCTTGCCTCGTGTCCTCTCCTGACACAGAGGGTTTCTAGGAAGGCCTGACACGAGGCTGGCGGGAGGGCCTGGGTGGCAGCAGCCTTGGTGGGAAGGGCTGTTCAGCAGGGCCGTGTCGCAAACATCACCTTTGCTAAGGAGTCCTCTCCCACAGCAGTGTTTACTTAAGGGCTAAAAATACCCAAAGCTCCTCATCCTCTCCAGGGGGGTGCAAAAAATTGATCTTCCTTTCCGCTGGGATGGGGGAAACGGTGCCAAGGCACAGCTGTGTTTATCTCGCAATGAATTATCTGTGGCTGTTGCTAGATAAGAGCCTCAGAATAACAGAGAGAAGCGGGTTTCAAGGCTGGGGGTGAGAGGGGACGGGCGCCTCCTGTCACTTGCAGACCTTGGCTCCTGGCTGTGTTTCACTGTAGCCTCCCGGGGCTTGTTTGATCTCGGCAGAATGTGATCAACACGTTCACGCAGACGGCGCGTTCCGAGCGCTGCTCCTACTACGGGAACGTCGCGGTGGGCAAGGACGTCACGGTGGGCGAGCTGCAGCAGGCCTACCACGCCGTGGTGCTGGTGGGTAGCGGGAAGGTGTCAGAGGAGGAGGCTTTGGGCTTTGCCTTGCGTTTGAGGAGGCTGCGGGCAGGATCTGGCGTGTTATTCCCGTTGGGATCTTCGGGAGAGGGTTTGTTTGGGTGTTTCTGGGTGCCTTGTTGCTGTGGTGGCTGAGCCTCTCTCACAGCTCTGAAGAGCTAGGACGTGTGTCCAAAGCCTTGCAGGGAGTGTGTGGTAGAGCAGAACATCAAAAGCAGGTCTCCAACGTCGGACCTCAAACCCTTCCTAGAGGAAGGATTAGTTGTTGAGGAACTTGTTCCCTCTAATGGCCAATATCTGCCTGATAGGAATTTGCTGCCATCTCCTGGGCACTGTCCTGGGTTTGTCATGTTCTCCTGATCATGTCTAGGCCTGGAGAGAGCCAGTTTGGTGCTAGGCTCAGTACCTGGAGCAGCATCTGAGGCGATGGGTGAAGTCCCCGTGCTTGGGCTATGTCTATCCACCCTGTTGAGTGTCCAGGCCCTTGGGCAAGGGTTGGCATCCTGACAGGGGGCTTTGCTGGAGGGAGATCTTTATGAAGTGGGGTGAAACCCTGCACACAGCATCCCCTTGACTGTGCCTGCCTTCTCCCCAGAGTTACGGTGCCGAAGATAACCGGGTCCTGGGGATCCCGGGGGAGAACCTGGCCGGCGTTCATTCGGCCCGAGCGTTCGTGGGCTGGTACAACGGGCTGCCCGAGAACCAGCACGTGAGTAGGGCGCTTCCCGGCCCGTGCCCGCGCGCGGCTCCAGATTAAGTGCTGCCTGCAAGGCCTGCAATTGGAAAAGATTAGCAGGCACCACGTTAAATCCTCCTTAGATGATAGAAATGTGAACAATTTGCACATCAGCGAGAGCGGATTAGCTGGCTCTGCAGGCGGCCAGCACCTTTTGGCCAGGCCAGATGGGGACCCAGGGGGATGCTCTGCTCCGGCCCGAGGAGGTTTTTGGCTGGTCCTGCCAAAGCAGCCGCTGCTCCCAGAGGGGTCATCTCGGAGGGAGGGGACAGGGGATGACAGGGGTGCCCATTAGCAGCTCTGTGTCTGCTCTGGGAAGAGGCCAGCGTGGAGTTACCCCATCCAAAGGGAGGCAGGAGGGAATTTGAGTCGTGGAAATGCATCTGAGGTGACAGACAGCCTGGAAGCCTGGGGAATTTGCTCGTGTTTGGGTCCTTTCTCCCCCTGCAGCTGAAACCCGACCTGAGCTGCGAGACGGCGTTGGTGCTGGGCCATGGCAACGTGGCCCTCGATGTTGCCCGAATTCTCCTGTCCCCGCTGGATCTCCTTAGGGTGAGTCACAGGTTGATGCTCCAGGCCCTGAGGGCAGAATGGGGCCCAGATTTGCTCCCTACCGGGTCACTGATCTCAGCAAAATCTGAGAGCTGCCTCTGCTGAGCGTGGACTTTCTGACCTCTCCTTGTCTCTGATATCTGAATTAATGACTAATGAATACCCAAAAAAAACATTAAAAGGGCAACTTTGCTAACTTTTTAGAGGTGCAAGTATTTAAATCCAACTCGGCAGTATTGCTGGATAAAAATATATAGGCACTTTCCTGCTAAGGATGTTGGTCTGAGATGGTTTATCCTGGTTACATGGTGTCCCTCCCATCATACCTTCCCTGGGAAAGATCTTTTAATGATCGAGATACAGGCACATGGTTGAATTGGAGTGTGGGCTTGATACAAGGTATGAGCCATCAGTTGAGTGCTGGTGACACTCGTGTTTGTGCTCGGAGCTGTCTGGGGTGGCAAGGCAATGATCTGAGCCCTCTTCCTAGTTGGTCTTTCAGCCAAGTGCCTGTATATCCTGAGCCTGGAAGTCACCCAAAAGCAGCTGCAAGCATCTCAAAACCAAGGTCACTGGGGAAGCCTCTGCTCTTTTATCCCCAAGATTAAACCTGACTGGAGAAGATTCCCTTGAAGCAATCTTGTGGGGTGCTGGCTTCTAACCTCTCCTATGTTACGGCCTCATAAAGTTCTTCTACTGTTGAGCAAATAACTCTGTCTAAAGCCAAATGACCTGCTTTCGCTCCCACCCCAATCTCCCTGTATATACAGCCTGGTTTGCTGCTGATTTTTCTCCTGCGGAAGCTGTGCCTTTCCCCAGCTTTCTGCAGACCTGCTCTGGTGCCCCTCTCCTGTCACACGTCCGTGTCTTGCAGAGGACGGACATCACTGCCAGCTCCTTGGCAGCTCTTGCCTGCAGCAAGGTGAAGCGTGTGTGGCTCGTTGGGAGGAGGGGACCTCTCCAAGTTGCTTTCACCATCAAGGTAAGGCTGATGTTGGAGCTGGGGCAGCTGGAGGCAGCTCTGTTCCTCACGTTGAACCCCAGGCTTCCCTTCCACAGTGGGGAGAGGAGGTCTCCATGGGTGGTGAAGCTGAGTGTCCTAGTTCCTGTACTTGCTTGAGGGCTCTTAGCCTGGATTGCCCGGGGAGAGGAGGCTGGTTTTGGGCAGCTTCTGTCCGTGGATGTAACATTTTCCTGCAATTCCCAGGAGCTGCGGGAGATGATAAACCTGCCTGGTGCCAGACCTGTCTTGGACCCTGCTGATTTCACAGGCCTCGGCAATGCTGTTAAAGGTGAGAGAAATGTGCTGAGTTCCTCCAGACAGGCACTCACCTTGACAGACAGGCACCCAGGAGAGTTCTGGAGATAGCTGGGAAGCACAGGATGAGCCCAGAAACCTTGCTGTCCTTCCTGAAAAACAACAGAAACAGTTCATGCCCTCCCTCTCCTCCTTGGACTGGGTTGTGGTTCCTAAGTGCTCTTGTCATCACCAGGTTCTCCTGCTCATTTTTCTTTCCTAGATCAGAGAGACTCTTGCCCTGTGTGACCTTAATGTGTGGCACACGAGCACCAGCTGGCCCTGGCATGGCTTGGCCTCAGGCTGGTAGGAGAGGGACCAGAGAGACAAGAGGACAGCCCGTTTCTCACGCTGTGCCTTGCTGTTTGGGGTTGTGATTGTCCTCTGAGTGATGAGGGCAGGAGGCTGGGGAAGGATGGGGGAGCCTATCAAGGGATGTCCCAGGGCTGTTGGTTTAAGAACATCCTGCAGAGCTAAAAAGAGAAGGCTCAGTTAGTTCAGAGGTGTCCAGAGACTTGATCTCTTCCACGAGCTGCTGCCTCTGAGCACTAGTAAGACAGCAAGATTGTAGGCTTTGATTTGTGTGCCCCACTGGCCTCAAGCCTCAGGGATTTCCCTCGTCACTTTGACTTGCTGTTTGTCATTTCAAAGGCATCTGCATGACACGTTCTAGATGGCCACTCACACAGGAGTGAAAACTGCCTTGATGTGGCCTTGGCTCCTCACCATTCCCCAAGGGGCTCTTGCTCAGGGCCCTGTTCCGAAGGTCTCTCTTTGCTTCTAGATGCCCCCAGGCCCAGGAAGCGACTCACTGAGCTGATGATCAAAACGGCTTTGGAGAAGCCAGCGGAGAAGACGGAGGCAGCGGCTGCCCGGGAATGGGGCTTGAGGTTCCAGCGCAGCCCCCAGGAGGTGCTGCCCACGGCCGACGGGACGCGGGCCAGGGGCGTCCGCATGGCCCTCACCCGCCTGGAGGTAGGGGCTCCACGGGAGACCTTCTGCGGTGCTGGCCTGGCCCAAACGGGGCTGGGGCACTGGGCAGGAAGCAGTTGCATCCTGGCAGCATTTCCCTTTCTAAGCTCTTCGCTGCAGAAAGGCAAATACCTTAGCAGATACCCAGGGATCGAGGATGTCAAGAGGAGAGCGCTGCTCTGCTGGCGGCGACTGCCCTGTGCTCAGCAGCCTTGTCCTCCCCTCGCAGGGCTCGGGGGACTCTGCCAAAGCCGTCCCCACGGGAGAGGTGGAGGAGCTCGAGTGCGGACTGGTCCTCAGCAGCATCGGCTACCGGAGCCTGCCCCTGGAGCCGGCTCTTCCCTTCGACCCCCAGCACGGCGTCATCCCCAACAGCTCGGGCAGGGTGCTGGGTGCTCCAGGTTTGTATCCGCGGCGGTTGTTGCGGGGGGTGTTGAGCACGGCTGGCAGTTTGTGGATTTGAGGTGACAGCCACTGATTGCCAAGGACACTGATCCAGGCGGGCGTGTGGGTCAGGCAGAGGAAACTGAGGAACTGAGCTGCATCTGCCAGACTTTATACAACATGTCCCATTCCCAGCTCACGTTAGTGACTTCTGTTTTTGCAGCAGACGGTGCTGAAGGACAGTGTTTTACTAGGCCTTGGAGTCTGTAACTGAAGTGATACAGCCCGGGTGGCTGTTTAGTGCCGGTCGGAAGTTGCACAGACTCCTGTCTCAGCACCATCAGGGGACCACGCTCGGTCAGCCCCACAGAGGGGGATTCTTCCACCCGCAGCTGGAGGTGGCCCCTGGGGTTAGGAGGGGACAGGAGGGTGCGTGTTGGGCTGAGCGTGGCTGCTCGCTGTGCCTGTGCAGGTCTGTACTGCAGCGGGTGGGTGAAGCGCGGCCCCACGGGAGTCATCATCACCACCATGAACGACAGCTTTGACACTGCGCAGTCCGTGCTGGAGGACCTGCAGGCCGGCGTGCTGGACGTGTCTGCCCCCAGGGAGGGCTTCGGCGCCGTGGGGAGCATCCTGCGCAGCCGAGGTCAGTGAGGGGCTGTGGGGGGGACCCCAGGGCTGCCGGTGCACATACAGCCACGCTCCTCCTGGATCTGCATATCCAGGGGCCACGCATCCCACATGCTCCGTTTGGGAGCGTAGTCCAAACCAAGAAGTGCATCGTGCCGCTGCTCCAAAGCACGGGGAGCAGCGGGACATGAATTGGTTCAAAATCAGCGTCATTGCTCAGGTTAATGACCCCTTTCTGGGAAAGGCTGTTGAAAGCAGCGCAGACCTTGGGTAAAATGTCACTGTCGGCTGTGTGAACAGTGAGCTATTGCTCTTGAATGGTTTTCTTAGCAATCCTTCAGGCAAACTTGGGGAAAGATTAAAATGCCCCAGAGAGTCATTTGCTGTTGCTCTGTTTAAAGGCATTCAATTAAAGTGTGTGTTTGCCTCTTAACTGTCCGAGGTTTAACAGCAAACTGGGAGTGTTTTGTCCCCTAAGGTGGTGCTATACTCCCTGTTGTTATGGCTTGCAAAGCTCTGACTAATCAGATTTGACTCGAACCTGCAATCTCTCTCCTCGCGGTGGTGGAAATTATTATTCCTGTATGCTGCTCAAGTCTGACAAGGGTCGGGAAAGGCCAGGGTTTGCTGTGCCCCCGCGCTCGCTGCTCTCGGGAAGGTGAGGCTGAACTCCTTCCGACTTGCTTGACGTCTCCCTCCTGTCTCTCCCCATCGCCCCAGGGGTCCGGCCCGTTTCCTTCTCGGACTGGGAGAAGATAGACGCTGTGGAAGTGGCGAGAGGCAAAGCTGCTGGCAAACCCCGGGAGAAGATAGTGGATCCCGAGGAGATGCTGCAAGTCATCGGCCACTGAAGGCTGGTGTTGGAGCGCGGTGCTGATCCACACGGTGCCATCCCGGGGCAACGCGGGCAGGTACGAGCGGGGCCTGGCAGAGCAGTGCCGGCACCGGGAGCCGATGGCAGGTGTGTGACACTGGACACTCTCTGGTAACAAGCTGTAAAGGATTCCTAAACGGAGTGTGTAAAAACATCTGGGGCTGCTGGCCAGCCCGGGGGCTGCAGCCACCTCTTGAGGTGATTCTCGGTGTCCTGTGAGGCCTTTGGCCATTCTTAGGTGGAGCTGGTGACACGAGATTTGCTTGTCACAGGGGTCTTGGCCAGAGATGTTCCCCTTGGCAAGCAGTACCATGAAACTTCCTTGTGTCTTGCTGCCCACCCCTTGAACCTCAGGCTAAGTGGCTTCCTTGCCTTGTTCTTCGTGCCTGGTCTCTGAGCAAATGTGGTGATTTTTTTTTTCTTTTTTTAAATAATAATTGTTTTTTAATAAACCTTTCCAGGAATGCCAAACTGGACCTGCCGCTTGAGTCTGGCTTCTTTTTCTGTGACTATCTTTCCCTTCCGAGCAGCCAGTGAGTGTCCCGTGTAGCGTGTCCCACGCTGGCCCTGCTGCAGGGAGGGACCACTCGCTTTCCTCCTCTTGCGAGCTCTAAACTGTCAGACCAGGGCATTAATTTGCCCTCTGCCCCCCGTGATCATAACCCGAGTGGGTCTTGGGTGCTACCTGGCAGGGGCAATGGGATAACAAGCACGTCGTGATTTTGTTGTGGATCACGACGGATCCTGCGTGCGCTGCCACCTCCAGCCCCGACCCGCTCACGCGGCACCTTGTTCCCTTTCGCTCCATTCCCCCTTTTTTTTTTTTTTACTTTTGGCCTGTGTGTTTCGGAGCTTATTAAATGCTCCTCTTAGCCCAAATTGACCGTGGTGACGGTGTCAGGTTTTAAGCCAGATTACAAGGCATGAGCTGTAATCTCCTCTTTATCCCCCGCGCAGGGACGAGGCTGGGGTGGCCCCCCCGGCTCACGCCGCTGCCACCCACGCGCTGTCCCGGAGCCACCGCCACCCTCGAGGGTCTCCGTCCCGACACCGCTCCCTTGGGCTCTGCTGATGGAGGCTGGGGCTGAATGAGGATCCTGTCCCCTGCAGGGAGGTTGTCTCCACTTCCCTGTTAACCTGCGGTTTTGGCCACATCCCTACCATGCTCACCCCTCGGGCACACTGAGCTGGGCGCTTCCAGGCTCTATTTCCACTGTCTCTGCTCCAAGCTGAGGCAAGGAGGATCGGTGGCTTCTCTCTTTTTTTATATATTTTTTTCCTCTTTTTCCTCCCTTCCTTTTTCCTATTTAAATCTCATTTGCAAGCTCATTAAGAAACTCAGGAAATGTGATACTGGGACCTCATACGCAAACGAGCAATAAACCTTTTGTGGAACAGCTGCTTGTGTGATGTGGCTCTGGTTACGTCTCGTGGCTGCTGCAGCCCTAATGCTGAACTCTTGAGCGGGAGATTACATCAGCGCTGGATTTGGAGGCAAATACGTGGGAATGGGAAGGGGGGCGCGGAGCCGAGGGGGCTGCCAACGTGCAGGTGGTGGTGAGGGCAGGGCCAGCTCTGCCCCGGCGGCTCTTCCATGCTGACACCGAGGAGCTCTCCTGACCGTGATGCAGCTCATGGGGCCGCCGCTGGCAGGTGGCTGTTCCCAAACAGGTTCCCAAACCGGGGTGATTGTGGGGATGCGACAACAGATTTACGGGAGCGTCTGTGTTTGCGGAGCCTGATGCCCTTTCGTGGCGTGGAGCTAATGGCCTGCTCTGGAGGAGCCGCGGTCCCATCAAGGTCACCGCGAGGCAGGGAGAGGAGCCGAGCCCCGCTGCATCTCGGCGTTTAGGTAAATCCCAGCCCGGTGCCCTTGGCTGCCCCTGCCCGGCTGCCGGCGGGCCGAGCGCCAGCCCCGGCGCCCCCTCCTCTGCCTGGCGCTCCCGGTCCCTCCCGGGGCCGCCTGTGTCCTGCCCGTCCCGGCAGGTCCTTGTCGCCCGTCCCGGCGTCGTTAGGTGGCGCTGGGCGGCCGGGCGCGGGGGGGCTGCGCCGGGACGGAGGGCGGCCGGTCCGTCCCCGCGGGGACACGAGCGGCCGGGGCGCCCGCGGGCTCGCGGCGGCTCCGAGCGCCGCGCGCTCCCGGGGCTCCCTCCGCCTGCCGCCCTGGGGCCGAATCCCTGAATCCCCGAATCCCTGACTCCCCGAATCCCCGTCCCCGAATCCCTGAATCGCTGACTCTCTGACTCCCCAGCGCTGTTGGCAGCAGGTGCCTCCCCGTGCTGAGCGCTTCCCGCTCGCCAGGCAGGAGGAGAAGCAGCCGCCGGGCGATTCCCTGCGGGCCCGGGGAGCCGCCGCTGCCGCCCGCAGGAGGCCGCGAGGCCGAAGCCGTCGCCTCTCGGCGTGGACATCGGCGCGGACATCCCCACAGAGCTGCGTTAGCGACAGCGCCCACAGCCGCCGAGGCCGCCGCGGACCGGAGGCCACCGCGGACCGGAGGCCGCCGCAGATCGGAGGCCGCCGCGGGTCAGCGCCGCGCGCCTCGGGGCGCCCTGTGCACCGGTCCTGCGGGTCACCAGCCTGGGGTCACCAGCCTGGGGACGAAGCGGAGCGGCGCGGCGCGGCGCTGGGTGATGGCACTGAGTAAGTGTGGAGTCTTTGCAACCTGCAGCTCTCGCTTTGTCCTGTCCTGTCTTGGTTTCCCCAGGCTGTGGGGCTGCACAGCCCGACGTGCCCTGCCCACGGGCGGGAGGCAGCGCTGGGCTCCTGCATGGGAAGCTCCTAGTGAGCTGGGGAAAGAGCAGATCCAAGGCAGCCCCAAATGCTGCTGGTTTTTTTTGCACTTACACCTGAGGTTTGCAGTTACACCTGAGCGAGGCGCGTGGACTCTTGGTGGCTTTGGAAACAGGCGCTTTGCTCAAGCTGCCCATCTGGAGCGAGTGTTTCCATAACTAAGAGCTAGCAGCGAGGGAGCTACCAGGTGGCCGGGAAAGGGCAGCCTGCGCCAGGTCTCTGCTCCAGCAGCCTGTCGTTATCTAAAGCCCATTCCCGCCACCCGCAAACTGGTCCGAAAGGCTTCCTGGCGGATCGTTATCCCTATAGGTTGCAGAGCTGTGGCGGCGGCAGCGGCGGTGCCCGGAGCGGCGGTTCCTGCGGCCGCTCGCGGGGAACAGATGGCTCCGCGCGGCGCTGACCTCAGCGCCTTGGCCCCGCGCGGCCCCCCCATGCCCGGGCTGGGGCCGGCGGGTTCCCGCTGCCCAAAGCACCCGCTTCCCTGGATGCGCCGCGTCCCGTCCCATCCCGCCAGCGCCCCAAGGGGCTCCGCGGCTGCAGACGCTTCGTCAGCTCGGAGGCTCCTTCGCGGTGTGAAGGACTCGAGCTCTGCAGCGCTGCCCAAAGCAGCCCAAATCCATAGGGATATTGGGACACGTGCTTCCCAGGGCTGCCTGTGCCCTGGCTGGAGGGTGCCCAGCACAGGGCAGGAGGTTTGTTCCTTCTGTTTGTATCCCTTGCTTGGGAAAGGGCGTCAGGAGCAGGTTTCCTGCATCTGGGAGCAGCAGCTGCTTCCAGGAGCTATTTCGGGATGTGATAAAGTGGTAGCTCAAGTTGGGGGTGAAGGATGGTTATGATTTCCTCCTGTCCATGGGAATGTGTGTGTGGGGCTGCAGGATGCGCTGCCTCCCCGCGCAGCACCGGGGCTGTCCCGCCAGCAGGAATTATCCCCGCAGGGATGAAATGATCCCTATTTATTTCAGCTCTTTAATTACCGGCAGGGTAGGAGGCGCCGCCGGGGCACACGGAGCTGTGTTGGGCATGTGCAGCATCGCGCCGAGGGCCCTTCTTCCCAGCTTCCCACTCAGATTTCTGCCTGGGATTGGGCTTGCAGAGCCCGGGATACCTTCCTGGGAGGGCGCAAGGTGCCGGGGGAAGGTTTTGGCTCTGTATTTGCCCAGGCGCCTCCGTTGGGGAAAGCAATCCTTGCCTTTCATATGTCCAAGGAAAGGCGGTGGGACGGGATTCAGTGGATCCCAGGTTTGGGAATGGGAAGTGTTGTATCTTCTTCTGCCTTGGCTACAGCGGGATGGGCACAGGGCTCCACGTGTGGCCTCTGTCTTGGGTGCCACCTGCCAAACGCGACCAGTTCACGCTGGCAGAGAGGTCTTGAAGCCGCCTGCCAAAGGCTGCGTTGCCGTTTGCTCCTGCGGCGGCCCTGTCACCCCTGGGATGGTGCCAGCAGCACCGCGGGATGCAGCTGCTCGTGGTGGTGGCTCTGCCGCACGGCACAGCTTTGGATGTGCCCTTGCTGGATCCCCACATCCTCCTCTTCCTAGATTCCTGCTGGAGGACGTGCTTTGCTTGAGAGATCTCCATCCACATTTGTTCGCTCCTAGAAATGCACCATCAGCTGAGCCAGAGATTTGCATCTCCGGAGCTGAGCTGAGCATCTTCCCCCCTGATTTCTAACCCGAGTGCGTCCCTTGGAGGGAGGAGGAAGGCAGCGTCTCCAGGCAGGAGCCGGGCATGCAGGAGGGAAAACCAGGCACACAGGAGGGAAACCTGGCCTTGCTTTTGCCACCTCTTCCTTGCCCGGCTCCCTGCATCCGAGGCGCCCGCCCCGGTACAAAGCAGGTCTCTGGTTTATCCGTGCGGTGCCTCTAGGACCTGGGCGCAGGTGCGCGGGGGACGGATGCCGGAGGCCACAGAGGCTCTGCTGCTCTTCGCTGGCAGATGATCTGCTCCCCGTAAATCCTGGAGCTCCAGCGAAGAGGGGACCGGGGCAGGGATGGCCGGGGAGCTCGGCGCAGGGATGCGCACGGATGCGGCGGTAGCCGGGAGGGCTCCGCGGAGCGGCGGGCGCCTGCGCCCGGCTGCTGCAGCCCGGCCCCGCCGGCTCCCCGCGCTGCACCAGGAGCTGTCAGAGCGCGTTGCCGCGCATTTATCACGCTGCGCGCGGAGCCTCCTGCGCGGAAGAGGCCGGGAAAGGACAGCAGAGGCGGCGGCGGAGCTGCCCGCGCTCCCCCGCTCGGTGCCCGGCTCCCATCCCCAAACCTGCGGGCATAGGGATCCACCATGGGGTGCTGGGGACACTGGAAGGCCCACATGGGTCCTTTATTCCGAGTCTCCGTGTGTGTTTCCATTGCTGCACTTACCTTTTTACCCATCACACTCACGTGGACTGTTTTTAACCTAGAAAATGCCCACACGAGGCATCTCGACAGCTGCAAAACAGCTTCCCAAACCTGGTACTGAATCAAAAAGCTCCCAACGCGGCCCCCCGGCAGCAGCCTGGCTTCAGGCACTCTGCATTTTCCCATGGAGAAGCTTTGGGACGAGTTTATTTATTTTTTTAGGATGCTGAAGGGCTTTGAGGAGGGAGCTGGAGCGGCGCGCGGGTCCCTGCAGGAACTCGGGCGGCAGCCAAGCCCAGCGCTGCTGCCTCCTCCTAACGAGTGCTCGTTTCCTCTCGGATAATTTGGCTCTTCCCTCAGCTGCTCTCGGCTCCCTGGGAAGGCAGCGGGGCCGGAGGGGCCGCCTCATGTCACCCGGTCCCGTGTCGCTTCTCCCGGCGCCGTCCAGCTGTGTGCCCAGCTGTGCAGCGGAGCCTGTGCGAGCGCCGAGCCGCTGCCTGCTCCCGCTCGGATTGAGTATCCCGCGGGATGGAGCTGCCAGGGGATCGTCCTGGTGGATGTGGGCGCTGAAGGAGGCCCCAGGTCCTGCTC